ATTATCCACAAAAGGCTGCTTAGGGCAGCCACAGGTTAGCAGCATTTAGAAGCTCCCATTTTTCATCCATTAACTCTGATAATTGTATTTCACATATGCTTTTGAACAGACACGCACTCTTACCTTCCCAGGGGGGAGAGGTTTGCCTTGCTGTGGATTACAAAAAATGATGAAACAAGGGATTTTTGTAGATAACTTAAGAACTGATGAAGAGTGAAGAGGCAAGAATTAGTTCAGAATTTTTAACTAATTTTTCATCAGACTAATGTCTCTATGCAGAATTTACAAGAAATTAAGCCAATTTAAAACCTAGAGATTTAGGAATAGCAAAGGTCACAGAAAAGATGAGGAAAATATTAATTTAGTGATATTTATACTAGACTAAGAAGACTACTAATATGAATACTCATATGAATACTACAGACAGACATTTTACAAGATTCAGATAATGGTTCTGGCACTATTTCCCCCATCCATGGTAAATCAGTATATGTAAAGTATTTATTCTCTGTGCTAGTCTACAAGATGCAGCCTTTCCCAACACAAAGGAAAGGGAAAGAAAAATCAAACTTACCGCTGTCTAGCTATTTTTGTATCTTTCTAGAATAGCACTTTCAAACCCAGATAGAAATATTAATTCTCTGAATGAACACATTCCCTAAAAGCTTTGACCACAGGAAAAATTTTGATGAAAACCACAGTCAATACTTTTTTCTTCTGAGCTAAGGTACGAGCCATCAGTGAGCAACCAGCAGCAAGTATGTTTGAAATGAAATTTTCTCTTAAAAGAAAAAACACATATAAAGGAGTGAAAGCTCTCAATAATATTGACAAGAATCAGTATTTCAGGTGCAGTAGTGCATGTCTTAAAAGTCACAAGTATTACACAGACATGTGAAACTGTAACCTCTAAAATAAGGCCAAAGTCACACAGGGCTGCTGGCTATACAACTGCTGGTTCAGCAAATTCAAGTCGCCTGTGGGCTGTTTTAACTTAGAGTGTGCTTCTTATTTCTTCCAAGTATTTTCTTTTTATTTGTTCCTGTTTATCACTTCCATATTTGAATATATATAACCTTCTTTCTCTGGGCACATATTATTTCTAAAAATATATGCCAAATTCTAGAGAAAACTACTGCATTATATAATTTGATCTTCTGAGCTCCTCTTAATACTTTTAAATTCCAGTAAAAGACAAAATTCTATTTTTGTTCAACTCTGAAAGTTACTTTTGAATAATATGCATTGTTTCAATAAGCATCTGTTAGGTGAATTTCACATAATACCAACATTCTTGGATCCTTAATTTTTAAAAAATTTTTTGCTGTATATAGTATCCTGTAACACTGTTGCATATAAAACATTTAGCTAAACACTGCATAAAAACAAGTAGTATACTGCTGTCACAAATTACCACATTAACATGCCAAAGGCTTCCAGTAAACATCGGAAAGACAGAAGCACAAAAGAAATAAGAATCATTGGAACGTAATGAAAGGTGTTATTATAAACTCCTCAGGACTTACAAACTGAAACAAGAATTGTAGTTGATCTTTTTATGTCTTACATCATAACTTGGTATACTCATTGCTAGCCTTGAAAGCTATACAACAATATACAAATATTTTTCTCACAAGAGTTCAAAAAAAAAAGGGAAGGACAAAAAAGACTCTTTTTCCTTCTTTCGTCTATGTGGGCTGATCTTCAGAAACACTGAACACTTGCAAGCATTTAGTACCTATGAAGATCAAGCTGGAAGCACCTGTGCTCTAAAAGACAGAGGCAAATGGATTAGGTTGTAGTCCTTCTGCATGAAGTCGACTGCCTAACGCGTCTGAAGAACAAAATAAACCTTTGAACCTTCTGCGGAATGCACGAGGGAACAGTAACTGTCTCTATTGCATCCTTAAACAATGAGGGGCTTATACTCTGGAATTAAAAAGTTTTAGCTAAAACCTACTGTACTAAGTGTTAGAAGCCAGCTCTTCTCCTTGCCAAAGCAAATGCACTAAATACGAATATGGAATACAGAATCATTTCTATAAAAAGATCTCATCACTGCTCCCTTTCAATTTATTTCAATACAGTCTGTTAAATTACAGTACAAAGAGAAAGAAATACTTACAGAGGGAGTATTTCTAACCAATATCAAGTCATTGGTGGCTGATTTAAAGAAGCTGTTTTGTCCATATCACTTCATTTTGTGAATGTAAGGGTAGAATTCTTAAGTGTCACTGCATTACCTGAAGCTTCTCAGGTGAGTCGAAGTCTGTCTTGTGGGGCTGGGTCAGTGCTGGATCCTTTGGAATTCCTTAAGATACAACTAACAAGAAAGACATAGATACCCACCCACGCACAAGGGCTGCTACGAAGGAAGCAGTGGGACAAGGCAGGCTTTTGTGGCACTTGTTTACATGCCCATGACACATAACCTTTCCTTCTCAGGCAGTACATCCCACAAACATGTTTTAGACAAACAGAGCCTTCTTACTATGCAAAGGTGGCAGAGCACTGAACGCTACTACGCTGCTGACTGATGTTGACAGTTTTATAGTGTCTGTAGGAATAAAATTTTCACACGTAATACTTAGAAAGAAAATGGTAATGAATAATCTGATGACAGCACAGATGCTTACAAAAATCAGACACTTTGCTAGCATAAAAATTATTTTTGGAAAGGTATCAGTATTCTCACTCATTAGTCTAAACATTACCATCGCAGGATGAGCTAGGTACCCAAGATTCTTATGGCACAGCTGCACCTGTATGGCTTTAACGCTTCCATAAAGGAATGAATCAAAAAAATTACATTAACTTCACAGTGGAAGTAGGCCTACTCAAAATTATAAAGTGCCATGAAACAGAAGAGTACTTCTAGGCACAGATAAGTGAAGGAGTGTGATTTCTGCTTTAATTAAAAATTAAATATATTCTGAAAGTCTCAGTGGAAAGAGAATTAAAAAAAAATCTTTATCTGGGATAATGAACTGGCTGACTAAAACACCAAAGTATTTTGCACCTTAATGTCAGACAGAATATTTATACTGAAGAGCCTCTTGATATGTAAAGTTCCACTTCATGAGATGGATTACTGGAAATTTAGAGCTGTAACAAGACTAAAGCCAGACAGGGTAAAGTCTTCCACAATTGCCTTTTTCCCCCTGCTTATAAAGAGGTCAATAAGGTCAATATAGTTTGAGTAAGCCAGATTATATTTCTTCCTTCCAAACCTCAAAAGCATACAATTATTACTTTTTTACAAATACATCTGGCTCACTAGAGTAGAAATGCTTATGGAATTCCATGAGAAATCAAACTTCTGTATGCAGGACAAAGGAAGGAAGGTTATATACCATGGATAATGGAAGACTTACTGCAATTTACAAATATCAAACATGACAACCCACAGAATATGAAAATAAATGTAAAAAAAAACCTAGTTGAGCTGAGGCTTTAGTTGTGGAATATTTAGTTCTAGTGCAGGGACTATTCTTATATGTGCCATACAGAAAGCTGAGTAGCTCTCTGAACAAAAATGTGTATTTACATAGCACTTTTTCTTAAGTGGTTATATATGATATATACATGCACCTACCCGCAAAATACATCACCATACCCAAGAACTGCATTTTGACAATATTTTTCCTTCCTCCACAGGGGGATTTGCTTCCACAGCACAGCAAACACTGCCATAGATTTTGGGCTATGCCACAGGCATTAAATGGCAGTCAAAAATCAGCAATTAGTCCAGAAAGCATAATGCAGACAGTGTGAAGTGAGGCAGCATGGAATGGTTGGACCTGACATAGGAAATTGGGTACAACGCATGGGGAAGCCTGGAGCTGACACCCTGACCATTCCCTCCAGACACCTAACTGACAATTCCACCAGCTGCAGGGGCAGCTGTTGAATGCTGAAAAAACCAAACCACTTTGGATTTACATGTAGAATAGGGATCTAGGCTTAACATGGGGTGAGATATTCAGAAAAATGCTGTTGCAAGGGCTTTTGTCACAATGCCCTCCAAGAGCACACCCACATCTGCATGCACCAGACAAGCCTGCCAGGTGTCCTATCCTACTTTACTGCTGGTCTCACAGAATCACAGAATTGTTAGGGTTGGAAGGGACCTCTGGAGTTCATTTTATCCAACTGCCCTGCCAGGACAGTTGGATAGTAACCTAACGCACGTTACGTAGGAATGTGCCCAGGTGGATTTTTAATGTCTCCAGAGAGGGTGACTCCCCGACCTCCCTGGGCAGCCTGTTCCAGTCCTCTACCACTCCCAACGTGATGTTCTTCCTCATGTTGAGGTGAAACTTCTTGTGGTTTAGTTTATGGCCATTGCTTCTTGTCCTGTCTCTGGCACCACTGAAAAGAGGTGGGCACTGTCCTCTTACACCTGCCTTTGAGATATTTATATGCATTAATGAGATCCGCTCTCGGTCTTCTCTAGACTGAAGAGGCCCAGCTCCCACAGTCTCTCCTCATAAGAGATGCTCTAGACCTGTAATCATCTTGTGACCCTCCGCTGGATCCTCTCCGGTAAGATGGGGTAAGATGTTCAGAAACCTGATATCGCAAGAGCTTTCGCCACGACGACCTCCCCTACTGCTGGTGTCCCGGCTTCAAGGGAGAGCATGGGGCTGGGCGAGGGGAGCAGGGAGGTGCCTCAGCCGCTGCCTTGCCTTCCCCTTCCTACCCGGCGCACCACGGCTTCGTCCCGCCACATCTGCCCCGCGGGACGGGAGGGGGGCAGCCCCCAGCCCCACCAGGAGCCCACGGGAGCACCGTGTCCCGGTGGCCCCCTGCCCAGGAAGCGCGCACGGACCATCCCTTCTCCCGCTCCCACCCCTCCCCGGCGGCGGGCGGCTCCTCCCGGCATGCCCGGCACGTCCCGGCCGCGCTGCCAGGAGACGGCCGGAGGGGCGGGGCGGGGAGGAGCGGAACGGGAGGGGGAGGATGCTGCGGCCGCCGCGGGGCGAGGCAGCGGCGGCGGCAGGAGTGGCAGTGGCGGCAGTGGTGGCACTTCGCGGCACGGAGGATGCGGCGGCGGTGGTGTCGGCAGCAGCAGGCGGAGGAGCGGGGAGCGATGCGGTGCTGCGCGGCGGGGCCGTGGCCGCACAGCGCCCTCACCACCCTCCTGCTGACAGGTCGGTCCCGGCGCGTCTCCCCGGGGCGAGCGGGATAGGGCCTCGCCGGCAGCCGCCGGCCTGCGCCGCGGTGCCCCCTCGCCCCGGGCTTCTCGTCCCCTCCCACCGGCGCCGCTGCCCCCCGCCCTGCCCTTCGGCTGCGGCTCGCTGCGCGCCCCCTTCCCCCGCCCTGTGCCTCCCGGCGGTGCGGGGTCCGAGCTGCCTCGGCACTCCCCATCCCGCGGCTCCCGGCTCCCGAGGACGCTCCGCGGGCGGCGCAGGGATGGCGGCCTGCGCGCCCCCGCCTCTCACCCGCCGCAGCTCCTCCCGGCGCGGCGGCAGCGCCCGAGGCTGAGGGAGCCCAGGGGCGGCCGGCCAGGGTGGAGCGGGATTGCCGGGAGGGCTTGGAAGCCAGGCCTGGCTCAGAGCCGCTGGATGGCGCGGACGGCTCCGCTCCCGGGCACTGGGCCTGGCCCGCTGCGCTTCTCCGGCTCCCTCGAGCCGGTGCCTTACCCGAGGGATGTGCTGTTGTGGGTGCGGGGTTGGCTTTCGTATTGCCCCTCTTCCCCCTCATGTCTCATCTGACCATTTAATCCAGCTGTGTCAGAATTACGACTGCAGAAAAAAACCTGGATCTTGGTCCGTAATGCATGTAAATATTGGCTTTCATGCAGTAGGCAGGTTTCACACCCACAAGGTTCTTCACGTTGAAATACAGATACCACTTAACAGCAGCCCAGCTGCAGAAGTGCCTTTGTGAGACTTGTTACACCAAGAGCAAGCCAACAGCAAGAAATCCTATTTCTTTTGCTTATTTTGACGTCTGAGAGGTTGGTGGTGTGTCATCTGCAAGCAATCTGCTCCATATCCTCTCAAATACTGTCTGGGTATGCTTTTAGTGCTTCTTTAAGTGTATGGCCATGCTTGTCATAGGATATTGAGATCAGAATTGACATGAAGCATTGGTTACGTTTAAGAGGTGGTAAGAACCTAAGTGTGAAGTTGTTCAATGTGAGGATAAAACTTTGCATTTGTTAAATGCAAGGTACTGCTTACTCCTTAAGTGGAAATTCTTCCTGCCTCTTCTGCCTCCCCCTCCATGACTGGTTGTGGGATAGCAACCAAGAAAGAACTAGGAGAAGTTAAGATAAACTTTCCGTGTCAACTGAAATAATGGCTTTTAAAAAGTTCAACAGAAAGAAGCTGAGTTGTGAGCTTAATCCACATGTCCTTTCCAGGCTACATCGAAAGAGAAGAGTTCTTAAGGTTTTTTAGTGATAACTTTTCCACTTCAAATTCAGACCTTTCTAAGCTCGGTTCAGTTGGATTTCCTGGTTTGAAACCGATGTAAAGAAGGAGGCATGAACTTTAGTTCTGCTACATTCTTTTAAGAAATATTTATACAAAATTTATTCTTCATCAAGGTGGGGATGTGTAGTATGTCCCTGATCTGATTGATGCAAAATGTCCCAGGAGCTCACCTGAGCTCCCCTCGCTGGCTCTGGGATGAGCCGTAGCCCAGCATTAAAATCTGTTCTTTTGAATCCTGGTCTTCAGTAGAGTCTACAGTACAGCAGCATTACTTAACGAGGCAAAAGACATCTTGCAGACAAAATGGAACATGAGAAGTAGCACAAGATTTGTAAATAGATTTTTTTTTTAATACTCCTCAACTAATACAGATTAGTTTTTCCCATTTCTTTTGTACAACTTGATCTACAGAAGAAAGTTATGCTTTTTGCATTTCTTAAAAATGCATGAAACGTAAAGGCTTTTTGGAAGCGGGTAGCTGCTGTCAGAAGTCTGGGTTGTCCCCCTCTTAATGCTCCCCTATTTTCCTCGTAGCAAAACATTATTTCAAAATGCAGAGATTTCAAGAGATTTAACAGTTTTAAGGGTGTAAGAGGATTTCAGAAGTTCAACAGTTGCTCCAAGGGGGCTAATATAGTACTCAAATTGAAGGTATTGACTCTCAAATGCTAGCTGATGATCATTTTCCTCCACTGATAGGAAAAAATGGGACTTTGTTGTGGGAAGTGACATTTAGGATTAAGCATTTCTAATGCAAACTAGTTAGTTGTTCTTTGGCTTCATAATAACAGACTTCATAGAAGCTTACTAGATTACACTAGTAGAGATGTCTGTCATATTAGTTTGGCAGAGCAATGAATTGCCCTCATATTCTGCTTCCGCAGAGAGGGTGGTCATCAAAATGTTTGAAATGATTGTGGCCAGTGTTTTTGCCCTGTATTTCTGCACTTAAGGAGTTAGTTGTCAGTGCCCATGTTGTCCCTGGAACCCCTCTTTCATCCCAGGAATAGGGAGTTTTAGAGTGATGGAGTCATCTTCCTTCTTCCCTATTATAAAGGGGACAAAAAGGGGAAGGAGCTCATTAGTTCCCACCTTGGAAGCTGTGGTTATGTGGTCACGGTAATCTATCACAGCTGCATTGCTGCCAGAAAACATTCTTCTGCCCTTCCACGGCTAGGGAAGGGCACTTTCCTTGGCATTTCACTGCTTTCCTTGGCATTGAGTAACTTGTACACTGATAATGTGAATTGGGTCATCGGCTGAAAACTAATGCACGCACAAAATTTGTTCACTGAAATCTGTGTATCTCTGTACTTGTCCCACTGTTGACAGGACAAGGGCTGTTGGCAACACTCTGTTGTTCAGCCGCACCCTGCACAAGGAGGCAGAACATTTCACAGATGATGGGTGTTTTCAGACTAAAGCCATGGCAAACCTGCCCTTTTTGCTTTTGTGGATGCAAACGTAAGGACAAAGAAAGAGGTTTCCTTCAGAGAGCCTCTAGATGTCTGCCTGAGAAGATGTTGCCTGTCAAGTCTTTGTACTAATCTGACCCAGATCAATAAATAAAATCTATTATCAATGAGTACTTGCTCGAATAAGTAATTACACAAGGGGAAGGGTAGCCATTCCATTAGTGTGCTTTTCATTACAGAAGCACATTATTTATAGGCAATATAGCTTACAGAGAGGCATCTTAGAGGTCCCAAAGCCAGTAAGAAGTGAGCTTTATAGCAGAAATTCACATCTAGATGTAACTGTTCAGTGTGTAGAGAGGCTTAGTTTTGCTCCGTAGTGCTTTTAGATTTGGGTAGAAGTTCATTAAAGTACCTCAGGAGTTGCAGTCACCAAAGTAAACCCCTTTCTTTAGAAGAAAGATTGTTTCCAAGCAAACTAAGAAAAAATAATTTAAAACCTGGACAAGAATATCTATATTGGTATAGCTGTTGGGCTCTTCTTGAATAGAGACTGATAAATTTACAGCAGAAACTATCAGTGTGGAGTGCCCTCCTTTGGCAGACCTGTAGAGGAAAAGAGGGTGTTGCTAGTTTTGATTACTTCCGTAAGAATTTGAAGGAAACAGAGGAGAAGAGACAAGAAACCAGAGAATGCAAATATTAATCTCCCTCCTAATCAGCTGAACTGCTTTTCAAGCAAGTTGTAGCAAGAAGTAGTAGAACTAAAAAGTGCTCTAACCTGACAGGAATTTTTGCATGGGTATCTTGCTGAAGTGTTTTCAGTGTGAAACAAAGTGCAACAGATTGAGAGCTGAAGGCATGGTTTCAGTATTCACTGACAAGTATCTTTGTGTTGAAATTAACGTGAACATATTACATAGGTTGAAATGATACATTGTTTTGTTAATAGCATAGTTATGGCGCTCATCATGTAAGGCCAAAAAAATGAGGTTTATGTAAACATGATGTGTCTAAATGTTGTTACAATTGCAACACAAACAGCCAAAATGCCTTTTAAATGTAGGTTATTTTTAGTGACAATCCAAGCCATGAAGATGAGAAGTTAGAAAGAACAACCTACTGAGCAGACAGAAGTCTTAGCGTCTTGAGATCGATGACTTTTCTGAATTCCTTAGTCTTTCAGATTAATTGCCACCTTAGAAATTTGGAATGTAATTGCAGGGATACTCTGATAATTCATATCAAAAGATGATAGAAATGTAGGAGGCATCCTGGAATAGCAGGCTTACAGGGTTGGTTGGTCATACCTCATGGTTACACCATGAGCCTTGGGCAGGAACCACAGGAACTGACAGTGTTTTCCTCACCTTCATGGAAATGATAACTCAATTCAGTTCTCTTGTCAGGCCTGCAGTAGGAAGGAGAATGCTGGTGGGTAAATGCTTCTATTAGTAAATAATGAGGTTTTTGTTCTCCCAGTACTTAATTTGCAGCATTCCCAAGAATGCAAGTGCTGAAGTTTCACAGTGAGACTGGCAAAATGCTTTATTCGGTTACTTTTCTTGAATGATTTTGGAGAAATGTTCAGATGTTACAGTAATCAATGAATAGCACAGGAACAGGTAGAAAACCATTGCCTACTGAACAAAGATAGTATAGGGCTGAGAAACATTTCTGGTGTTGATTTGGACTTTTACACGGTTCAAATAAATGGAGTGCAGAGGAACCTGAACAATCCGCAGCGGAGAACTAACACAAATTAATTCTTATTTCTTATGTAGTAGCTGTCATTGAAGAGGATTTTATCTGTTAGAAAATATCCACTCTCAATGTGAATTTCCACTAAGAGAATCCACTTTCATTCATAGTAAGTTTCTCCCATGTACTGTGTACTAGGTAAAAGGAAGGTGCATGGAGGTTGGAAGAGGAGGGAGAGTAAGTAGGTGGTGCTGCAACTTCGTGCCTCCTGTGATGGACAGTGTGACCTACTGGGCAAATATCTCAGTGTGGACACCAGTGGATCCTCATGAACTGCCTGGGTACAGACTCTGATTTGAACTGTGGGCCAAACACCTCGATGCAGAGAGTTCCCTCTTTACAGATGTTTTGTTTCAACTCGGAGGTGCCAGTTTTTGATTGTTCTGCTCCATGGTTCTTGGCAGCCCATCAGAAATCTGCACTGTGTATGGACCTGTGCTTCCAGCTCAGGATGCAGGAAAGAAGACTGAGCCAGATGGGATATGCACTAGAGAAGTACAAGGGTAGTTTTTTGGAGCAGAGTTCTGCTGTAAAAGAGTAAGGGGCAGTGTAAGCATGGCCTGAGGTCCTCGTCTGTGGCATGAAAGTAGCAAGCACATGATTATGTCAGGTCCCAGGTGAAGGCGGAGGTGTAGGAGAGAAGGAAAGAGCCAGCTTTTGAGAGCTGGAGCTGCATGCTGCTTTGATAGTGGGAGAGATGGGCTTGAGATCCTACTTCAAAGAAGCAATAAGAGGATAGGTTAGGGTGTAGAATGCTGTGTGGATGTCAGAGTGCAGTAAAGGAATGGGGAAGGTGAAGTTGCTCCATGATACTTAGGTCCTTTTTTGCTTGTTAGCTGGGCAGAAATTGTTGTGGGTATCTTCTCTGATAAATACTCTGTTGGTAAATAGTAATACTTAAAATCTTTGCGTAAACCATATGCAAATAAAATTAAAGAAAGGGAAAAATAGTATAAAGTAATATACTTTATATAATACTATAATTTATAGTTATAAATTGATGCAATTATAATTAAAGAAAAAGGAAAATAAAATTAAAATATTAATCACAAAAAAATATAATTGAAGTAAAGAAAAATGAAAACACGGTGATGTGCTTCACCTGGGCTTGTTTGAGTACCAGGCACAGAGTTATTCCTGCTGTTAGAGACCGTGGTGCATTCTCCAGCAACTGTGGCAATGTGTGCAACAAACTGAAAAGCCTGACACTATTAACATTTTTTTAGGAGTGAGTACAAGGCTGATTAAATTAATTCTAAACTATCTCTTTGATAAAATGCATGGTTTGAATCCCTGCATTCTGTAGTATAAGGCCTCTTTTGTCATCCTTTAATCACATTCAGATCTTCCCAGAGCCTTCGTGATGTTGTCACCGTGCTTCTTGAAGGCTCTGCTAGACAGAGTATTTGAACAGTGATCATATCTGTGTCAAGTACAAAAATAAAATCTCCCTGTTCCTCCTTGATGTTGCTGTTTACATGTCAACTGTTCTAACCAGTCTTCTGCTGAAAGCCTCTGTTCAACCAGTTACTTCCTGACTCACATTTCTGGGTTGCTATCAAAGTTGAGCATCCCTGAATTGCGTGCTCTGTGGTGTGCATGGCATGCTGCTGCCTTTGTTCTTGGTGTGCAGTTACATTTTATTTTATTGAAGTGCACATCATTGATCACCTTTTTACCAGAGAATGCAGACTGTTCTCTGTTAGGAGCATGTCATCTCTATTATATGTCAGCCTCCTAGCCTTTGTTTTTATCTGGAAATTCTGTTCAGTGTATTTTATACATTTAAGTAATTCTCTCTCTCCCCCACTCCTCCCCCCCAACTCCAGTTGCATAAGGCTAATGCCAGAACCTCGAGAGGCCCACTAGAAATCTCATATAACAAATTAACTTTTTAGTAGCTGTGTTCTCTTGCTTCTCACACCTGTCATTTGAAGTGAAATAGGTGGTGATATATGTGCAAATACCACATCGTAAACTGGCACACTGATTTGAAAACAGGCACACTGGCTGCTTTTCCAGTTCCCCTGTAAAATGCAGCGTGACATGGAAAAGTAAACAGGTAACTTCTTCAATCCCCACAGGTAAACATAGCACAACTTCTGAACCCAAATCAAAGACACTTACCGATCATTTATGTTTAAAAATACACATGGAATTTGTCTTTCTTCTTTTTTTTCAATTCCATTTACATATACTAAAATTATTTTGTATCTACTTTCTCAATCAAAATGTTAGGTGATTAGCTGCATAGCTAAGTGTAACGTGTCAGTATTGCTATCTTTATCAGGAAAAACTTGTGGGCTCATCAAAAGTGTCTAAAAAGAGGGATGATATCCTTAATAAGGATGGTGATAAGCATAATACTTTTGACAAGGACTGTGATAACTATGATACTATTTTTTCATCTAGTAATTCAGTCATCTAATTTTGTATTAGTTGTTTTGTCTGGTATTGGTGCTGATTTGTAGCTGACAAGCCTCTGATTGCTCAGCTCATCCTGTTGAAATACTGGAACAACACTGTTTTACCTTTTTTGAAATTTCTTGAGCGTTTCAAGAATTACTAACATTTACACTGAAGGTCCTATGCAGTATTGAATTTCATAATCTCTAGGATGGTATTATATTAAGATTTTCAATATATGTGGATCAGTTCAGTAGAGAAGAAGTTGTCTGTCTTGCCAGACATATGTAAACCAGTGGACATAAATAATAGTTTTTTGTTAAATCAGATCCTTTATGTATATTAAAAATCTAAAGAAATTTAACAGAAATGTATAATTTAGAAATGTTATTGTGTTGGTATGTTAATTATTGCATTAATTAAATTATTAAATTTAGTAAATAAATAAAATTAAAAATTCATTAAAAGTGCATTTTTTTTTATTACACTTCATCCTCAGTTCAGTTTTTGGTGTTTTGTGTAACTTATCATTAATAAGTCTGTCTTACATGCATAGATTAAGTATTGTGTATCTTCATTACTGCTTAAGCTGGATCTGTTTGGCTTCCTAAATTCTGTTTGGAGAATGCAATATCACTAATGTCATAGCTGACTGGTGTAGCAGGTCAGAAGTTTCCACAGATGTTTAAGCTTCTAGTGTAAATGATATTCACATACTTGGAGTATTTGCCAAGAAGTGTTCATTTCTTCCTGCAAACCAGTGTGTCTGTACACAAGTACTGCTACTTGATGTTTCTGGTATTGCTGTTTTTACAAGGAAATTAGGATGCTAATCCAATAACATCTTTGAACTGGGGTTTGACATGAGTTCTCACTCCCAAAATATTTGAAAATAAAGACTACTTATTATGGGTACTTTCCCTTTCCTTACTGCATTTCCTTCCCTCTGCATTTTCAGTTGGCTTGTAACTGTACAAAGAGCTGATATATCTATTATTCATCACAGAATAACAGAAACAAAAAAGTGGGAAGTGAGGAGGGAGCTTTCTCAGGCAGTTCTGCTACTGGCGAAATGGAGTCTTTTTGTCAGCTCCACAGCTGCTTGTTTTCTCCTGTAATCATTTGCTCCTCACCACATTCAAAACTTCTTCCTCCTTCAGCAGCACAGATCCAGCTGATTTCAGGCTGTGTCCTTGCTGTATGGAATATAGACAACCATTTTTAATGGGTCCTTTTTTCAAAATTGATTATTGGTTATGCCTGCAAGCCCCACGTGTCTTTTGTATAAACATTGTTATACAAGCAAAGCTGTGCTCTTGGTTATATTACTTTCCCTTCTTTGGCCAAAATATACTGTGCCGGTGAAAGTTACTCTATATATGTTTTTGCCTCTATGTGAGATTTTGCCAGTGCAAATGCATTTACCAGAGAATGCTCTTTGTCATCTTTATTATTAGTACAATTATGTCAGCAGAACCGTCTGCAGAGGTTTAAGCATTTAGTGTAAGCTTAGCTTATTTGGAAAAATGGGTGTCAAAAAGGTGACTGTCAGAAAGATTATTATATGTTTATATATTCAAATCAAACACCACCATTTTTTTTAACCTGTGGTTCCTAAACTCTGACTAAAACCAAAACGTGGTTTAGAAGGCATCTGATCCCATCTGATCAGATTGTTTATGGAATTCTGTTGATCTAATTTTTTTTTTTTTTGCATTTGTTTTATTCTGAAAAGCTTTTTTGCTAAGCTCTGCTGATGGCAATAATGGAACTGTTAACTGGACGACTAAGCGAGCCCACAGTTACATTATCAGCAGAATAAAGGCTGTTCAGAAGAATGGTGAGTTTAGGTTGAAAATTTAAATCCCATGTTGGTTCAGTCAAACCTGCTTTTAATATTACTCTTGTTTATTCAGTCATGTCCATGTTTTAGGAATAGGGTGCTGTTTTAAGGTAAGTAGTTTGGAAAACTTAACATTTCCTCAGTCTTCAAACATTCACAGACCTGTGTGTCCTTGTGAGTCTTCTCTGACTTTTCCTGTTCCTGTAGCTTTGCTTGAAATAATGGCAATGTGTATATCTAATACTGCACATTTTCTTATCATGGCTGGTTGCTTGGAGATACCTCTGCAGTTCGCTTAATACAATAACTTTTCTGTAACAATTTAAAAAAATCTTCTCACATATAAATGTAAAAGATTTTACTGTCATTTATGCAAGTACACATGGAATATTGTAGCTGTTGCACGCTAGCTGAGAAAAAGCTTTGCACTGTTTGCCCATCCAGACAGACAGTCTGAATTGCCCTCCAGATCAAGTTATTTCTGGGATTATGCTTCATCTGCTAAATATCAATGGGGAGAGGACCCATCGAAATTCCCAGAAAAAAAATTCCAGATGGATTTTTTTCTGAAGATCATCCACATACAGGCTTCAACCAACATGGTGAACCTTCTGAAATTTCTGGAGATGGGGTTTTTTTATATCTGATAACAGGCTCTGGGATGCAGGCTGATATAATCCTGGCTGAAGTCCTGGCTGTGCCCATGTTCAAGACCAACAAAAAAAACCTTGAGATCTACAGAAAGGCCTCCAAAGGGATCTGGAAACAAGAAAGAAGAAAACAGTGCTGTCAATGTAGCTGATACTGTCTTTTTTTCTAGCAGGGATCTGATGTGATCCTATGTAGTGGAGATTTTCAATTTCCTATATTAGTTTTACAGAAGCCTTTCACAATCTCATTGAGATTTTTGTCTACCACAGGGAATTTGCCCAGGCAATTCACAGCTGGCAGTCTGCTGTATTAGATTAGCATCTAGAAGTTGTTAAGCATAATCACTTTCATCCCGAGATCACCTAAGATGATTACACATTCATCTCCATTCTCAGGAAGTCTTATGAAAAGACTTGTGAAGAAAATAGCATTTCACTTGTTTCATTATTGAAAAGCTGGAGTGATAAGAGGTAGTGGGCTGAAGACTCATCATTTTCCTTCTAATTTTGAAGAAACTTCGTAGGGGAAAAAGAAGAGGGCTTCTCTTACAAGGGGAGCAAGAACTTTTGAATTCTTAATCTCTATCCTTGTGTCATTACAATGTGTTTGTCATGCCAAGATAAAATAGATCTGTGGATTTTTCTCTTCTGAGGGATGTTTCTAGAATTCCACCAAGATCAGTGTTTTATATCTGCATCAAATCCTTATTGGCATACTTACTTCAGCAGCTGGGGATGTTTCATTGCTAGGGATGGGCAGGCATTTATTGGTGGCAATAGGTTTCCTATAACAGACAAAATAAATGTTATATGGGGTTTTCCAGTAACTGCTATTATCCTTCTTTTTTCCTGAAACTATTCACCATGGAGAAACTTATGCTTGTGGTACATTACTTTTTCACTGTTCTTCCTGTTTGAAATGGATTTTCATTGTTGAGGCAAAGCATCAGAAATGGAAAAATAGATTTTTCTAGGTATGTGATGCATTGTCAACCAGCCACCATGTTTTTGTCAGCTTTTCTGCTCTATTAATGTTATTGTACTTTTTCAGCTTTTCTTGAAAATATGTTAAAGGAAATTAATTAGTTTCCTTCTGTTTTTTACAGCTCATTCACAGAATTGAATGCAAAGGTTTTTTGGATCATCATTTACTAATTTTAAGTAAATAAATCAAAGAGCAATGTTACTGTACTTAAGTTTATGTAATGAAAATTACAGTAACTGGTTTATTAACCACACAGAATTGTAATAAATTTAAATTTCAGGATTGTTTTAATTTTATCACTAAGATAAAATTATTAGAAAAATATTCTGTTCAGAACTGTGTTAGAAGCAGTTTTCAAAAATGGGAAAAAGCAAATGCTGTGGAATTTGATGACTAGTATATCCAGAACTTGAGACTATTAATTCTGCAATATTAAGCTTGAAGAGTGGGAAGTACGTAACTAAATGTGGAGGTCTACATTACAGATGTCTGCATCTCCTCTCAGGTGCCTCTGCAGTCCATGGAGATCTAGTCACCATAGCCTGGAATATAGGACATGATTCATCTCATTTTACAAGAGAAATCAAATTAATCAACCCTTAGAAGCGTCTGTGTCTTCTCCACTGACTATAAAAGGAGCCTGACTAGCTCAGTGGTGGATGTTTTTTCTGTAGGCATCTAAAATTAGGTGAGATAGATTCCATACAGAGTACGTGGTGAGAGGGCTAGAATGCCTGTGATTAATGCCTAATTAGCAGCGTCTTTTTAAGCAAATCTCCAGTAAGAAGGTTGATATAAGGCTGGGGAAATTATACTAGGATTAAAAAATTACACCAGCATGAAAAAATTACATGAGTTTGGTCCATATTTCAAATATGTCGTGCTTATTGATCAAAGTGTTGCAATTAGCCCTTTATCTTCTAGAACCTAGGAGTTTGTTCCTAGGAGTTTGTTACAATGACTCTAAAGTCTCTTTTGGAGTCACTCTTCCCAGTGACAGCATCTCCATGCTGTATGGCCTATAGTCTTTGTTCAGACATGTAATTTCTCATAAAGTTTCTTTCAGTTCAGCAAGCAAGGCAGGTAGCTGTGTGTGTCTATCTGTGACTTACCATCTTTATTTACCACTTTTGTGATCCTCGTGTCCCTGACAAAATTTATTAGCAATGATCGATTCTTTCAGGGCATTGACTTAAAATTCAATAGTAATAAAAATATTAATATTATATCTTATTAAGATACTATGAGAAACACCTATTAGATCAGTATTCTCCATTTATACTTAAATTTTGAAACTTGTCATTAAAGTGGTTTCTTATCCAATTTATCATAATAATTTCTTTTTTCTTCTAATTCATTAAAATGTGTATGTAGTACAGCCTTGAATATGTTATACCTAAAAAAAGATATGCCTTTATCAACTAATTCTGTACTAAATAAAAAATAACATATTGCTTTTATATATTCTGGTTGTTCTTAATTAATTTTCCTTTAGGCTTTTAATTCTTACTCTTGTAAAACAGGGCTTCATTTTTTTTTGTTTGGAATTAGTTTCATCTGACTGGCCTATAATTATCCATGTCCTTCTGTTTTATCCTTCAATACAAGCACAATGTCTTCACTAATGAACTCTCTAACCAAAATTTTAGATGTATGTTATCTGAACCTGCTGGTCTGAGAAATTCTAGTTTTAAGGACTCAGAGAAGTCAGCTGAAGTGAATTGCTTTGTTCTTTTCTGCATAAGAACTGAAAAATCTGCTGTTTCCAGTCAGTGGAGAATCAGTACCATGAATTGCTAAGGTTTCTCTGTATTCCTCATGTTCCTTTTTTATGTAAAAACCAAGGAAACATGATTGTGTCGTAATTTAATGTATTTTTATTCATGTAATACTACAAATAAACGAACTATAAAATTACAGTAGCCTTCCTCTTTTTTATAACGATAAAATTAAAGAGCTTGTATCACTTCTGAAATCTTAACATAGACAGGTTTATTTACTGCAGTCTTGGAAAGGATCCTGTTGGGCAAAGAAAAGGTTTGCCCTGCATTCCGTTCTTCAATCTCTGTAACCTTTTAAAAAACTAATAAACAAGTATCTAATATTTGTTGCTTTCCTTTCCCGATGCCCGCATTGCTGTTGAAATGCATGGAGTTCCCTAGAGCATGTCTCATTTTTGCCTTTTTTCTCCTTCTGCTTTTCAGTGTACACGATTCTGTCTAGGGTGCACTCTGATCGGAATGTATACCCTTCTGCTGGAGTCCTGTTTGTTCATGTTTTGGAGAGAGAGTACTTTAAGGGGGAATTTCCTCCTTACCCAAAGCCTGGTATGGGATGCTAAGATCTTCCATATTATATACAAATGTAGAAAAATTACTGTTTTAAGAAATTGAAGTCTACTTAGTGTACCTTAGAGTTCAACATATAACATAAAAAGGACAGGTTTTAGTTTCTATTGAAATATATTCAAATTAAATAAAATATGTGGTCTTACACTTTTAAAATATTCTGGTTTGTGATAATTTGTGAAAAGATGCATATAACTGTGTGTTGTGAAAAAATGTAGTTAATTTGGAAGGCGTAATAATACATTATATATATATGGTATTAGGAAATGTTCCTTTTATTCACTTTTGCATTAAATATGAAATTGTGGAAGTTTAATAATTATGTCTGTTAAAATTACCATTTATCTGGTCACTGTCTCAGACATAGTATCCGTTAGTCTATACGAAGGAGGACTTTGAAAGCATATAGTAAACATGAGACAAAATAGGAGATTAAAACAAATGTGAGACTACATAGTGATGTTTAATTTAAAACAAATATTCCTTTGGATTCAGCCTTTTTCCTACATTTAGGAACATTTTAATGTTAGTAAGTGTTTGATTTTAGAGAAGGACCTGTGATTTCTTAAGTATGGTATTTTGGTGTACACCAAAGCTAAAAGATTGATCATTGGCAGGTTAGAATATGTGTAAGCAATCTGGAGGGTGGGAAGAGAAAGAGAAACCATTCAGCCCTACATGTTTATCTACAATAAAAAGGTATAATAAATATATAAATATATCCAATTTGTGTAAATGTGGCTACCATATTTTCCTATAAAATATGAAAAACCTGTAATACATGTACAGTGCACACATAATCAAAACCTGTTTCATTAATAAGCTCTTGAATTGATTTGAGAGTGCTGTTATCAAGATTCACTTTAAAGAAAAAATAAGCTTCTGTTAGCATTGCTTAAATTTTGTCACGAGTAAACCCAAATGTTTTAAAAATTTCTTCTCTTTGAAAAATTGATGTTTTTTCTGACATGAATACCTGAGTCTTCATTTATGTCATGATGACTGGCACAGTGAAGTTTGCCTCTGTCCCAGTTTCCTCCCAGATTTGGCAAACAGATGGAAGGAACCTGGAAATTTTACTAATGATGGATTGTCCTTACAGCTGCAACCTCTCTCAACATTCCTGGCAATAGGAATCTGATTTCAGATCCTACTGAAATTGCTGTCCCTGTAGATGATTGTGATCATATCAGAAATTCACTGTAAGGCCAGATGTTACCATGGTCCTTTTATTTTTGTCTGCTGGATAATTAGCATAATTCCTTGATGAAGGAAGGGCTAACCAGAATGTCTCTCAGGTGGCTTTCAGAATTTTCCCTGAATCATTTGTGATGCTGGGAACTTTGTTATGAATGCGATAGTTTAGGTTACTGAGATGTCCTGAGGAAATTGCGAGGGAAGTTGTGTTACACACCCGGGTGCTGGTTTGGTCTGGTTCTGGTTAATTTTATTCATAACCAGATGTGTAAATGTGTACCTGAAGACTAATCTGGCAACAGGTCTCAGCCTTTTTGTTCCTTTCTGGAGGAGATGACAGCTGTTCATTCCTCAGTGGGCTCAGTTTCTGCCTTCTGTGCCAGCCTGCCTGTTTTCTTCTCTCAACATTTGTCCTAAAGTGCCTGCTGTTGCCATCTGAAAGCTGAGTTGGAGCATGAGGCAAAGGTGTCTGCAGGCTCATAAGGGATTTGACTGGATTCTGTGCCTCAGCTGGATGATGCCTCAGCAGTGAGGATCTGGTAGTGTTCAGCCATGCTTGATTTCATTTACAAAAGCTAAAATAAACAAGTCAGACTCAGGCATTTTTAAGAGTATCAATGAGAACCACAAGAATGGAGGTAGTGGTTTGACTTGAGAGACTTTTACAGATTGCAGCTGGACCATTGTATTTAGTAGCCATCAGTGGATCCCTTTCACAGGAATGTCTGGCCCTTCTTTGAATCAATGTGTTTGCTGAAGAAAAATGACTGCCAGGCTGTTGGTGCTGAAGATGCATGTGTATGTCCTGATGCTAACAGAAGCTTTCAGGCATTGGTGATTACACAGCCACTCTTTACAGTAAGCCCTCCCAGGTACATTGAGTACCTGGAGCCACCATTAAAAACATAAAAGAAACTTGGGACGGGGAGAGAATTAAAGGACTGAAACCTTTGTGCTTTTGTCTGTGAGGAGGTGAGATGCTTCAATTCTATGTGGAACTGAGCTCTAAAAATCAAACCCACTAGTTACTGAACATGAGCACTCAGTTGGCCAGGACTGTAGGAAGTGCCAGTAGATTATCTCTGCAGTTGGTTACACTTTTCATGTGTGAATTTCTTAATACTTAAAAGTGCTGAGTTGGAGTTCACATACTTCTGATATAGTAAAGGTTAGCAATTTTTTTTTCATTTTGGAAAGGTTCAGAAAACATAACTGGCAGCCAGAATAAGACTTTCTGGTGGAAACATCAAAATCAAAGCATATAGCATTTTCTTGTAAATATTCTAATATAATTTTTCTTATCTAGGTGAAATAAGTAATGATCCTATAACATTTAATACCAATTTAATGGGTTACCCTGACAGACCTGGATGGCTTCGCTATATACAAAGGACACCGTACAGTGATGGAGTGCTGTATGGCTCACCAACTGTAGAAAATGTGGGCAAACCAACCATCATTGAGGTATTTTCTTTCAAATGTTCAAAAAGTTTTAGAGTGTAGGATTCAGAACTGTCAACAAAGTTAATTACAATAGTTATATAAAAGATTGCAAGGCAGGGATGGACTTGTGACATTAACATTTTCCCTTAGGTACCATTTTATCCTCTTCTGAGAGAAAGACAGATTGTATGACATTTTATAGTTTACTTTTAAGTGTAACAAATAAGTAGCAATAACTAGTTAAGCTTAATACTTCTACATGCAATACTTTTTGATTTTTGTCTTTTTAACTTTCTAAGAGGCATTCAGTAAATGATGACTATATAAAAGTTTTACTTAAAATACAGGACAAAAAATCTTTGTAAACAACTGTACTTGAAGAGTAACTGAATTCTGAACTTTGTAACATTCAACCTAAATAAGGGACGGACTTCTCCCCTCTGGAAAATAGGTTTGAGTCAATAAACAGTTGTGGGGCTTTATGTTAGTTTTGGTTTGTTGGGTTTTTTTTAATTCCTTTTCATTGAGTATTCCCTTGTTCGTTATTCATGTTTATTGTTATATTTTAGTTAGCACTTACATGTATGTAATTCTGTTCATAAAAGTGTTAACCATGACAAAACTTTATTTTTGACAATTAGCTATCCAAATGTTTAAAAGCGCTACTTATTCATTGAGCAGCAATTGAAAGGGAAAAAGGAGTATATTTTCTGCCATGTATTTCACAGACAGCAGACTAAATCAGACACTGTGTGGTTCACAGTGTTTAAGAAATCTGCACATTATCTTGCTCCAGCCTTTTTGCTGCAGCAGCAGTGCATTTGTCTTAGACTCTTAATGGTGGGGTTTTTTTCTAAATTGCATTTGATATAGTTTTTCTTCCTCAAGAATGGCACCTCTGGATGTTAAGTTATAATGTAGATAATTTCACCCATGGTTAATTTTATATACATGATTCAGTTTTGATTTCAGCAGGACTAATGACATCTGAGAATTAATCATGTGCAGAAGCTTTTACAGACTCTGCTTAGCTTTCTGTAGAGGAAGCCATTATTTAAAATTGCCAGGTTTTAAATGGCACATGCTTTTAGATTCTAGGATCTATATCAAGACCTCCATTCTAAGCATGACCCCAAGCTTATATCTGAACTAAATGTTGCCTACCATACAAGTTAATTCTTTGCAGTCCTAGTGTCAGATGTGGCTTTTGAATTAATTCTATGGTACGTGAGGAGGGCAGATGGCATTTGATCCACTTCCTAGTGCCATCTGACTGGTTGCATATTCCTGGCCTGAGTATAACTTCCATCGTGTCCTGAGGGGATGTCATGGGTAGGTCAATTAATTGGAGGAGACCTCATGATTAGAAGAGCCTAACATTATGCACAGCACTGCAGTACAGCAGGTAGCATTCTTGAGCTCAGCTCCTATGAAAGCTGTGCAAAGACAGTTTGTGTTTGAATGAATATTCAGGACAGGGCAATCTCTGCTGCTGTTGCTATTCCTTGGTGCTGGGGCATGGCCACACTGGCAGCTCCCACTGCTGGAGTGCAGGCTCAAAGTGGGTACTGTTGTGCTCCTGTATAGAGCTTTTACAACCAGGGGATTTGTAACTTCTGTTACAACCCTTTGAAAAATTAACAGAATTGAGGATTGGAGAAATCTCAGAAATATATTTTCTGTTAATTTTGTAATGAAATTGTTATATTACACAAGATCTAATTGTGTCAGGTAAGCTTTTCCCTCTCCACTTAAATGAACCTGCAGAAGACATTCCGCAGCATTTTTCCTTTTCATGCAAATACCTTAAAAAAGTGCAACATCTGTTACTTTGTTTGTTTAATAGTCAATGTCACAATAGTTTGTAGCTGTTTGCTGAGAAGCAACATAGTTCTGTCACTATTGTCACTCCTCTGCCTCTCCTTTGTCTCTGAAATGAGTGAAGTCTAAAATTAGAAAGAAGATTAGTTTTCGTAAGTTTGTTTCATAAAAGATTTATCAACTTTCAGGGGAAAAAAAGTAGAAAAATAGTACATATTTATACTGATATCCCGCCTCATTCAGTGTTTCTTATGAATGAGCACTTGATATAGTACAACTTCGGAGTACAGTCACCACTGGGAAGTAACCACTTGCAGACATTTCAGGCATCCTAGATATTTAAAGTTTAAGATTGGTATACTTGCATATTTTAATCATGAAGGTGTATGTTTCCAAAAATAAGTTGCAAGAATATTGCATCTACCCCCTAGTTTTCACTTCCCCTATAGTTACAGATTTCAAGATTTTTTTAAAACTACTTATGTTGGAGCAACATTTGTGAATCCATTCATGGAGTATGACTTTACTGGGTCTAGAGCTAAAACTAAACCCCAGTCTCAGAGATGAGAATCCCAACACTTTTTCCTTAAAAAAAAATCTCTGTCTAGTTTAGTTCTCTAGGAGCTATTAATGAATGTAGATCTTACAGTATTGATGGAGGGGTTTGGAGGCTGGATGGGAAAATGGTTGCTTATGGTTGTTCTTAAAGAAAACAGAAAAGAAAGAATACACGTGTGATAGAACACTTCTGTCAGGGCCAAAATATTATTTTTACATACATTTCTTGGATAATTGTATTTGGCTACAGACTGGTCAAGACAACTTTAGTATTCTGACTTGAAGGTAGTACTGCATTAAATACATTGACCTTACCTTTCAAATTTTATTTTATATTAGCAAATGAATGTTCATACATTTCAAAATAAGGAGGCAAAGCATTTGAAAGGTGATAAGTGTTTCTGAATTACCAGTTTAATTTTCATGGATGTTTCATTTACCCAATTTTTTTTTTGCATTGTTTTGCAATCATATCTTTTTCACTCCAGATCACTGCATACAACAGACGTACCTTTGAGACAGCAAGACATAATTTGATCATTAATATAATGTCAGCAGAAGGTATGTACAGAAAATAGCTGTTGTGTTTTGAACTGAATAAGCAAAGCCATCTCATAGGTTTTGGTTTTTCAAGATAAAAAATACTGTAAAATAGTTGTCTGGTGTTCAAGCCAAATGCAGGGGCACAAGGGAGAAGTAAGAGAATTTTTCCTGCTTTAATTCATTTCGTTAATTTAAGATGGATTATTTCTGTCATACAGGACTGGTTTTCCTCACTCGTTAAAAAAAAGTTAGCTTTTTTCTTTTTAACTAAACTGGTTTTAATTTTCTCCCTGTCTTTTCAAATGGACTTTACATGAAGGATTTCCCTCTCTTTCTGCATGTTGTTTAGTTTTCTTAGTTCTGCATGTTCTTTGCCTTATGCAAAGAACACTTATGTAGGCAGATTCAGAAAAAAACAGGTTAAGGCATATATAGACATTTAGTCCTTAAAATTAGTTCTTTTCATCATATTTACCTATTTACATTATGGAGTGTTGTGGGTTGGAATCCATTGTTGCTGCAGATCAGTTTTGACCCCCAAATTAACATGAATGTAATTCTATCTGTTTCATGAGGTTTTACCAGCTGAGACTCTTTTCCTCCAGTCCTCTTCTCCAGTCCCAGTTGCTTTATAAATAACTGAAGATTTTCAGCTCGAGTAACAGCTAATGGTACTCACTACTGAATTAAATATAATCACATTAGGTTCAAAATGAACTAATTCAAATACAAGAATTTTGGAAAGCTGTATAATCTTAAAGTAGTATTACATTAATCATTACTTCAGATATTGGAGCCTTTGTTTAATGCAACATTCTTTCATCACAACTAGATTTTCCTTTACCATATCAAGCGGAATTCTTCATAAGGAATATGAATGTAGAAGAAATGTTAGCAAGTGAAGTTCTTGGTGACTTCCTCGGAGCAGTGAAAAATGTGTGGCAGCCGGAGCGCTTGAATGCTATAAACATCACTTCAGCCCTTGACAGGGGAGGGAGAGTTCCACTTCCTATTAATGACATGAAAGAGGGGTAAGCACATGTGTCAGTCAGTTGTTTTTGCTTTACACTTTGTTTTCTTACTGAAAAGCTTAATATTTTTTTCAGGTTTTCTAGAAATTTTGCAATTGCTGTTTTATATTTTGGAATTAGATATAATAAGTGTACTGGTGTTCTGAGACCTAATTATAGTACAGGTTTACTATGATAGATACCATTACAACAGGCAACAGCTCCTGTTTGATGTTACAGTCCAAGGAATACTAACAAATTCCATTAATTATGAACCAGTTGGTAGTAAATTGGCTTATTTTGTAATTCCAGTTTTACTTCTGAGCATTTGGCATGCTTTTCAAGTTTTTAATGGTTTCCAATTCATGAAACTCAAAATTTTGAAGCAAGATGTGATAGAGCATAGGTTACAGGGACACTTAAATTTCTAAAAGCATTTAGCATGTAGCAGTGTAATTTCTAGCTGTACTCTTACTTAATGTCAGTTAGTTATGTGATTCAGGAGCACTGTGGGCTTTCTTCTGAAAGTCATAAGCTGAGGTATCTGGGGAGCTCAGGTCACTTACTGTAAACTTCAGGAATGCACTATTTCCAGTTATGATTCGTAACCATAAATTCTGTTCTGAAATACTGTACTTCTCTTGGCAACTAATAAGGATTCAGTCTTTTCAAAGTCTGATTATGATAGAGCTTTTCCAGGGTGAAAATAAAGATGCCTATTTATTTTTAGATAATTTAGATATTTTGGTGTCAAATAATATCTGAGAAAGGGCTGAAGGTTCAAAATTTGAGATGGGTGCAGAAAATCTTCTTTCAGAGCCTTTTTGTGTATCTGGAGGTTTTGAGCACATTTAAAGGAGGCAAGTCATTTCTGTATTAGCCAGAGTAATAGCAGAACCACTTAATACAAGTGGCTACACTTCAAATATTTAGTTAGATAATGCCTGATATACCAAGTGGCAACCAGGACCTAATTTCTGTTTCAGGGTCCATTGGTACATTATTACCTGGTGCAGCAGACTGTATTTTCCAGCAGCATTCTATATATCTAAATATGACAATTAGTGTAGTAGCTCTTATTTTATGTATGGTAATGCTAAATGAATTATTAAGTTTACATTCAGCTTTCAGTATTCTGAAGCAAATTTTGTTGGCAGAGCATAGCTACAGTATGGAATCTTTTAGGAAAAGCTGGGGATGTGGCAGATTCATATTAGTATTAGGTTTAGAAATAATTAGTCATCATGAATTTAGTTTGAAAACATGGGAGGAAACTCTTCAGAAATACTATGGTGAGCAAGACTAAAGATTTCCTTAAGATAAAATGACACTATTTTAATCCAATTTTCAAAAGTAGTACTGTTTTACTTATATGAGGAAACTACACCTGGAGCTCTGTGACTGCATGGAAATTGACACTTCTGCTGGTAAGCAAATATTTACATTATGTGGGAAAACAGAGTATGTTGTAATGTGCAGCTAGAAAAATCCTTTTGATTTCAGTCAGTTTTTCGTATGCTTAGATAAAGTATACTATGAAGAAAAATAATTTTAAAAAGTAATTTCAGTCTTTAAAGAACAGCTGAATGTTGCTGTAAACAGCAATAATGTTTGGAAGAGTATATAATTGTGCTTTGGGGATTTGTGAGACATCCTGCTGGTCTGTCACTCCTCTTTTTCTGCAGTGTGTATGTGATGGTTGGGGCAGATGTTCCATTCTCTTCCTGTTTACGAGAAGTGGAAAACCCACAAAATCAGCTGAGGTGCAGTCAAGAAATGGAGCCTGTAATAACCTGTGATAAAAAATTTCGTACTCAATTCCATATTGACTGGTGTAAAATCTCTCTGGTGAGTTGTTTTATTATTGCATAAAAATGATGTTTGTAGAAGTACAGGTGCGAGTTTGGCCAGCCTGGCCAGACAACTTTGCCAGTTGCACTTTATTGTGACTGACCTTTTTTTTCCATCTACCAGACACGCTTAAGGTTGTGAAAGGATTTTGCTATGTAGGCTAAATTCTATTAGGGGTGAGCCCCAGTGAAACCACCATATTTGTTTTCACTAGCAGTGAATGCTATAAATGGCCAGAGAACTCCAGGCCTTACAGAACTAAAAGTAATGAGATAATTATTTAGGTACATGTAGTTCATTAATTTAGAATGCTAATACTGCTAGTTACACTTGCTTTCCTAAAAAAAAGTGCGTGTCTATATATATGTATGTTTTCTCAGATATTGATTCTACAGCACTGACCAGTTAAATAGCATTTTTATGCTGTTAAAAGACTGTTTCTGGAAATTGTCTACAAAATATTTCATGTTAAAAATGAAATGAAAAGAAAATAATGTTGATGAATTAAATGAAAATAAACGGGAACATTTTTCTCAAACACAAGAAAAATGATAACCAAACAGGAGACTATTTGCCATGGAAGGAGTATAACTCCTAAAGAGGCTTTTTAAGATTTTTTTTTTTAGTTCCAGTAAGGAAAATCAAGAAATAATACAGTATTGGAAGAGAATGTTGCAAAGTTTGAACAATGATTGTGAAGGTACATAAAGTAAACTTAGATAATTGTTGAGCTGCTTCACACATTACTGAGAAGGAAGCTGAAAGGGAGATATTAAATGCTTTTTATAGTGGAAAAAACATATTGAGTATGAGAAAAGTTATTCATACACAAAATTGATTGAATAACTTCAAGTCGTTTCTTCCTATACACTATAAATTAGGAAAGCTTCTAGAAAACTCGGAAATACTTGTTTTCAAAAGAATATCCAGGTTATTTACATTTTATTGGCCTTCTGTTGAGAAATTGCAAAAGGCACAAGTGTACACAGCAATACTTACCAGCACCTGAAAAACAGCAGAAGGTAGCTAGTCTTTGTGAAGAACAAACTATGTCAAGTCTTCAGTGTCCTCCTACAAGAAAGAAGTAGAACAGAGGTGGAGCAGCAGATGTCATTCCTTTATGGTAAGGTTTTTTAATGCTGTCTCACAAACAAGCTCAGGAACGTGGCCTAGGTGAAGCTAGGACCTAGTGAAGAGCTGGCTGGTAGCCATAATCCTAGAATAATTATCAATAATTCTTTGCTATTCTTCATTAATAGCTCAATGATGAAATGGGCTTATTAAATTAAATTTGCAGTCTCCGTGAAACTGAAAGGATCTGCAGCTGCATTGAAGGACCAGATAGCATTCAGAAAGGTCTTGAGAAGTTGGAGAAACAGCCTTAGGAATCAGGGTGAATTTTAAAAGGAGAGGCAGAAGTATAGTGCACACAGCAGTGTTCATGCAGAATGAAGAGTGGCTGGTTAGGAGTACTTCAGAAAAAAAGGTCTGATAGTAGCAGTGGCTCATAAAGTAATCATGAAGCAGCATTGCCATGCTGGTTTGATAAAAGTAGAGATCACCTTGGGATGTGTAACAGGAACAGGCTCTCAGAGAAGTCTAATTTTCTGCAGCAGCCTATAACTCAACCTTCTTGAATTCAACATTTGTTTTGGCGGCTTGCCACAATAACTGAATTTAAACAGTCTTAGGGGTGTTTACTGTTGCCAGCAGCATTGCTGCTGTAACCTGGTGCATCAAAGGGAAAAGGGAGGCGAGCTTCTCTCTATCTAATCACAGTCTGCTTTTCACAAGGCAAGCCAAGGGGCAGGAATTCTTCTCTGCCATGGGCTGGAAGGGAGTTGAGCTCTATTTCCCATAATCACAACGCAGATAAGTGATTAAAAATACAGCCATCATAACCTCTTCTTCCCATTTTTATGAGGTGACATAGACAGCACCAAATCAAAGAGTGGATTCAAGTTTGGGGGTCCCAAATTCTGCAAAGAGGGACAATGTAATAAATGCTCCTTCTTAATGCTGCTTTTTGATAGCTTATTCTCACTTTGTGTGGGGGCTTTTGTCAGTCACATAAAAAGTACATCAATATTTTTTTGTGCATTTGTTAGGGTTTGAGATTCAGCTAAGCAGCCAGGTGGAACTCAGGGTACCTAAAAGGTACTGTGGAATTAATGAGTGGAGAATACATAAGTTAATTTTTGTTTTGCAAACTGTGTTGCACTAATAATATACATATGTGTGCATTTTAGGCTCAGCAAAATTTCTGGCATTCCATGAAAATCTGTTCATCCATTGCATAAGTTGTTACTTAAAGTGTAAATTATTAAGAAATAACCATAAGTTGCAAGATTTCTCAATGAACAGTCAGACAAAAGTTCAACCATGTATGCAAATATATTTGATTTTTATTAATGATCTGAAGAGAGTCTTAAGCCAACACTGATAAAATTTAATAGTAATATCTAACTAAAGATAACAAGAAAACAGAGGCAGAAAGTTAAAAAGTCATCTGGGAAAGGCAGTCAAATGCAATAGGAAATTCAGTAGCAAAACAAGGTTATATTTTGAGGAACATTAGGTATAGACATAAAAAAATATAAAAACAAAATTACTTGTGACCAGGAATGCAGCCTTCTGAAGGTTAGTTGAATTAAAAAAAAAACCCTTGAAACTCCGACTGATCAAGTAAATGCACGTCTCATGTTGTGGTGCCTCCTGCACTGGGTGTGTGGGGCAGGCAATGAGCTGCTCAGCCCTCAGCAGCTCAGTTGGTGCCTCTTGCTTTTTTGAGCACTGGATGGAAAGCACTGAAGGCTAAGGAGGAGGAAGAAAGTCATAGGTATGTGACTCTCATCTCTGCCACACTCATACAAGAGAGGGCAGTATTGTTATTTAGGAAGACTAGTAAGAAATGGATTAATTCATCAAAAAGAAATCAGTACTAAAGAATTAGTTTGCACTAGGGATGTTTACTGAATTTTTACTCAACTACTGTTTGTGTGACGTATGCCTGAAATTAATCTGTGAAAACCGTGGTATCTCTGGGAGGCACGAAACAGTCATATTATAACATTACTATCACATTGATCAGAAGCTTTCATAAAATGTAAGGTTCTATTGAGTAAAAAAAGTGATTGGATAAAATTGTATAGAATTTGTCTAACATGTAATATGGATCCTTTTATATGTTATCGTTGGTTAGATACTGCCTGTTTTTACATTCTGTTACTTTGTTATTTGATCATCTTTTTTTTTTCTTCTTTTTTTTTCCCCTGGGTATCAGGTTGACAATACAAAACAAGTTTCCACCTTTCAGGAAGTGATTCGTGGAGAGGGAATACTACCTGATGGTGGAGAATACAAGCCACCTTCTGACACACTGAAAAGCAGAGACTATTACTCGGATTTCCTAATTACACTGGCAGTGCCCTCGGCAATAGCACTGGTGCTTTTTCTAATCCTTGCCTATATCATGTGCTGCCGACGGGAAGGAGTGTGAGTACTTTAACACGCTAATAAGTAACTGTAGACTTTTCTAAGATTATAACGCATAGAGGACTATTTGTTAGAATAATTCCATTTGGTTCATTATAAACCTTTAAAACAGGCCAAAAGATATCTTCTTGAAATGCTGAACTATTTCTCACCTAAGCACATGGACTAATTTCCAAGCAAGTGGACATAGGGCCTTTAGTTGTTCTAGCGGAAAGGTTTAAAATACTCAGCATACGCGCAAAACTCCCCAAAATCTCCACATGTGCACAGCTCTCCAAAATGCCCCCAGCAAATAAAATACTAATAAAAGATCATTGGTTCAGGAGGATATTAAGTAATTTCTAAAATGCTAACCTTCATAACATAAACCTGGTTGAGATTAACTGAATTTAGACATACTATAAAAGAAAAACACATAAAAGGAAAGCAGCAAGTAACGTGATTCCTGCCATTTCTTACACAAACTACAATTTCATTTTGTCACAGAATTTATTTTAGCCAGAAGCTTGTTCTTTAACCTGCATTTTCATTTCCCTCTGTGTGTGTGTCTGTGTGTGTATGTCTGTCACCATTATCATATCTCTCTATGTCTGTTCATCAAGGCCTCTTCATAAACCCCGTTGCAAATGCTGCCAAGTTGCGTTTAGCAATAACCTTGTCAGCATTCCTACATCATGTACTATTTTCATCATCAGATAGATTTAATGTTCCAACTATCAATGCTATTATTTAATTCATAAATTTTGTTTTGTTTTTAGGGAAAAGAGAAACATGCAAACACCAGAGTAAGTGTCTTCTTTCCTGTTATTTTTCTTTTACCATTTAATTTTCATTCTCAGTAGCTCGTCATGCTTCATACATGTGTGTCATAATCTTCTTTCATTCTCTCTAAACCATGGTTTAATTCATAAATGTGAAAGCTGCTTTTAAATCAGAGTCCTGGCAAGGATAGAAGACCAGAATAAAAAGGGTTTGAAATTAACGACTCATAATTCAAAATAAAATAGTGTTGTTAGAATAAATATGTTAATATGCAATTTATACTCCTGGTTATTGGACTTACCAGCCTGTCTCTTAAAGGCAGTGACCAGGAGAAGAAATATCCTGGAAGGTATCCAGGGTCTATGCTATGGAGTGTTTTAAAATTAATTTATGAGCTTTTATGAATCTACCACAAGAATCAGGAGTTAACCAAAGCTTTCATTTTAACTGCAGCAAATAAATGGAACATTAGCCATAAATTGCACAGTCTTGGATCCTATGAGAAATATCTATTCAGGCAGAAAAGATCTAATAGAATAATTACTGCCTTAAAAATTAAATAAAGGCAATATTTATTAATTTAACTATGTAAAGGTACAGTAATTGCTGCACTGTAGAGTCTGTAGCATGCGTCAAAGTCCTTATATTTTTAAGAACAATAATAATTGTAAAAATCTATCCATTTTGGTAGAGCACTTAAAATATGTATTCACTATTTTATTTCCTTTTGACATAGCATCCAGTTGGTCCACCACAGTGCTATACAGAAATCAACCAAAGAGCTTCGTGACATGTCTAAAAACAGAGAGATCGCGTGGCCTCTTTCAACGCTTCCCGTGTTTCACCCTGTGACTGGGGAAATTGTCCCGCCCCTTCACACGGACAACTACGACAACACCAGCATGCCACTGATGCAAACACAGCAGTAAGTGTTTAGATTTTATTTCTTAATGCTCGCTGTGTTGCACAATTTAACTGTAGGTTCCAGTGCATGTCTTCTGAAATGTTTCTTATGGAGGTTTCAGTACTGACTCTCAGTTCAAGATTGCTCTGATGTCTGCATTTCCAGCAGCAAGAAAGGCCTTCTGTTATAAAATTAGATGGCTGGCTTTCAGTCTGAAAGCTTACCAAGAGGCTTTGCATGGAACAGTTAGATGTGTGAATATTTTGGAGAAAAACTACTTTTGATAGAGGAATCAATTAAAACTGTTCTATTTTAGACACCCTGTCTCTCAGCCAATGTCTTTGGAGTTCTGGTACAAAACTACCACCAGGTTGGTGGTAGTTTCATACCAGGAAATCCAGACTTTGTAAATGGTTAGTCATGTACCTGTCACACATGGTTTATGTTTGAAATGTTGATGTTGAACAGAAGAACATATTCCATTACACAGATAAAAAATACAGACTCGTCAAGGAAAACACTTAGAGCTCTCACCCGTTTCCATTGTTGCCACCCTCTCTCCAAGACAGAAACCAGAAAAATACTCGTTCCTGTTCTTTAGAGTTCATTTACCAGTAACTTAATGAAGCTACTAAGACAGACCCACACAGTGCTTTGCACACATTCTAGTTTAGACAAGTCCATAGTGCTGTAGCAAAAAGGCATTTCTGGTAAGATTTGCTTGAGGTGCCTGGGGCTGAGCAGATCTGAGGCAGTGGTCTCAGAAGTGGTTGGCATTTTTCAATGCCATCTCTACAACACCATCTCTAGCTGGTAGCTCCTCTGCTGGCAGGCCTGCATGGTCCCAGTGGTCCAGTGGCAGCACCAACTAGGCCCTAATTTACACATGCTTGCCCTGAATTCCCTTCATAATGTAGTTCCATGTTTTCTTCTCCCTGTCCCAAAGCTAAATTCTCCAGGAAGTACAGCTGTATAAATTATTCCTTGTACAACTGCATCAAAGTGCTCTGCCCTGTCTTTTAGGGCTTCTTTATTCAGAATAGCAGTTTTTTATGACTGGGGTGCCAAATCTTGTACCAAAGGCTTTCTTGAGTTGTACATAAAGTATTTATCTGCTTCACCTATATTCCAACCCTTAATTCCTTTCTGTAAAAACACCTTAATATATGGTAACTGTGAAAACAGACACTGAAGCAGGGCACAAATATGTAACTTTGCCTTGATAAGTGAACTGGTCCAACCCATAAAACTGGCTGACTGTTCATTCATTTCAGTGTCAATAACTAAGAGGCAAATGCTGTCACCTTTGCTGTACTCATCGCTTACAGAAACCAAACTTTGCTTAACATCAGAAACCCGTGGTGACTCTTGTTACCTCTGGCATTTCACCAAGTCTGAGCCTTTGAACCTAGCTGATAAGTGAAATAATAGAAACTACTTTAGCACTAGTTTTCTTTGTTTCATGGACTTGGCTAACCTTTGGACAACTGTATTTGCATACTGAAAATAGATTATTGCTTCATAAGCAAAAAAAATGAAGTGTAAATACTCAGCTTTCATCATAAGACAGTTCAGACTTTGTATGGAAGCATTAAAGATATTAAATGTTTTTTTGTAGGAACCTGCCACATCAGACTCAGATTCCACAGCAGCAGTGTGCAGGTCAGTACTCAGAGAATACTGTAACTATTAAGTGGCTAGTGTGGAGGAATCACTAGTCAAAATGTATACAGTCTATAGACAGTGGAAATAATTCTCAAATATAGTAAAGTATTACAGCATTGTCATTCCAAATTTTTTTTTTTGATACAGCATTGAAAATTGTGGGATGGGAATGACTGAACAGGTGGGCGAAAGCTACATTAGGACTCTGCATGGGACCCTGGAATCGGGTACAGCTAAGTTAGAAACCTCGTATAAATAATTTTCTGTTACAACATGAAGCTACAGCCAGATTCCCAAATGTAGTTACATGGTTGGGATTCTCTGACACTCGGTAGGAAACCCAAATTTTTAATTCCCACCAGTACTAGTTAAGCTCTGAAGAAGGAGTTCTTTAATTGCTGTTATTAGACATAAAGGGTCAATACTGGGGAGTCTGTGGTGAGGCACATATGAATGCTTCAGGTTTCCCCTGTCTTAGTCATCACTTTTGTATCTTTTCACAAATGCTCATGGACTGATTGAGGTCAGGATTGCCCTGTCAGACTAAGGCTTGACTGGTCTCTCCACTTGCCATCTCACGTTTGAGAAAAAGCTACAGCCATATAGCCATGTGAAAGGGGGTAAGAATCACACAGGGAACAGATAGAGGCCAAAGCATGATTTTTAAATATTCAAAGAGGTATTTAAGCAAAACACTAGAGAGATACATATGTATTGAGCATAATATGGGAACTACAGCTCCAAGTGGAAGATTTCTTTTAACTTAGGAGTTACATAAGCAACTCTTTCTTTTCATTGAAAATCCTTCTTCTTCATTACTGCTTTCGGGGATTAAAGGAGAATTTCGTATGACAACATTTCAAAGATTTGAGGCAAGTATATAATAGATTTTTTTGCCCATGCGGGTTGTTCTGTTATCTGGAAATTAAAAACAGTTATAAAAAGCCTGACTGTAGTTCTGCTAGCTTTGCTATTTGTGTGCTTTATTGCACATAAGCTGGAAATGGCTGATGACCCTGGCAGTCAAAGCCTTGATCCAAAGCCTCCAGCACTGGTTTGGGTTGACGTTTAGCACAGCTCTTCACACTGACTACTGCAGACATTTAGAAGGCAGAATAAAAATGTCACACAGTGCTACTCTTCTGCTATGACTGTTTTGTTACAAGAATTCCAGTGTGTCTTGCAGTAAAAAAAGATGCAAAATCAGCTGGTAGTGCTGTATGGTGACAGCAGAGAGGAATTTTTGAAAAGGTATGAAATACAAGCTAGCATGGGTTTGGCACTTGTGAGTCGCACTGAAAAACTGCCTAAAAATAGATCTTAAAAATCCTCCTGTGTCTATATTTTCTGTAGGACATAATTTTTGTAGAATACAACTGTTCTTTCATATTCATCACAGACACTGCTTGTGACAAGCTCTCAGAAATCCGAGGCGGGGGGGGGGCAGGTGTTGGAATGTATTTGGGACAGACAGTGTTTCCTCCTCTCCTCTTAGTTTATAATGACCCCTTGCTTTGTACCTCAGATGTGCAGGTGAACCTGCAAGCACTTCCATGACATGATGGCATGTGCCTCTTTAGTTTATCTTCTGTGGTATCTTCAGGGTATCTATGACTCCTGTTGTCAGAAGGTTAGATTTTTAGAAAGTTATAATTTAAAACAAAATTCAGCTACTACTAAGTTTTTTTAGTAGCATGAGTACAAACTTAGCAATCAATTTTATTCATCTGTTCAAGTAAGAAATTTACAGAAATAAAACACCTGAGGCCAAAAAAACCTAGATTTTCATTGATAAATTTTCTTCCTTTTGTACAGAAAATTCAAATTCCCAGTAATATATTCAGGATTGTTAACATACTATCAGTGACTACTATGAATAAGAAATTTCTATTTTAAATCTTCAGTAGGCCATATTTAGTAATTTGAAGAGCAGACCATGGCTAATAACCACTATCCTTTTCAGGAACTATTTGAATCCCTAATAAGAAAGGGTTTTATTTTAACCTTAACTAAAAAGGCAGACTTAATAGGTGACATAATGCTTGGCTATTTCAGAAGGTTAAAAGCTAACTGGGAAAGAATTGTGTGAAAGGTGACCACTCACATCTAACGTTTATATTACACTGATGAAAATTGCTACTGGTCTCCAATATGAAAAGATACATTAAGTTTTGTAGTTGTCTCTCTGTCAATAGTCAGAATTCATGAGGACTGTTTAAGGTGTTTAGATGAGAAAGTTTATAGGGTATAATGCAAAAGACTAAATATTGCATGTACACAGTGTACGGCCTTTTCTGTTTTGTGCTTCAGTCTGACTATGAGGCCCGTTAGATCCCAAACAGAAAGATAAACTCCCAGTTAAACAACCTTTTCCCAGTGTCCTCCCTTCCCAGAAGAAAGCAAGCAAAAGCTCTGTCATGTGTATGTCGTCTCTTGGCCCAGGTTGTACTTGCAGTGTTTCTCCAATGTGGTTGTTGATAAGGGACTCATAAATACTATTTATGTGCTGTGCTCTCAATTGACAGTTCAATATTGTTGAAGCATCATGTGCCACTGATGGATTATAAAAATTCTCATCTATTTGCAGGTAAATGGTATTCCTGAGGAAAGAAAACTAACAGAAGCAATGAATTTGTAATCAGAGAAGGCAGCAAATTGTCTTACTTCCTTATTTGTTCTGGTTGATGCATGAGTTTTTCTGGTGTATATTGTGCATGCCCACAGTATTACGATGCTTTCAGTGCCAGAGAGTACAATCACTTCCATATAACTAATGTACTGTATCCTTTTGTACTTTGGACATTTTTGACAATTTGTAAACACTGATAATTTTTTATATTTGTTACATTCAGATAATCTTTCATATCTATATCTATATGTATTAATAAATATCAAGCTTTATTCTGTCTTGTGATCTCTCCTGAAAGTTTTAACAGGGAAATCAAAACTTCAAAGGATTTCAGAGTGTTTAATGGGATGATAAAATTGCCTTATATTTGCACAGGAAAAGCAGTAGTGTATAAGCACAAAAACTTGTGCAATAAGATGAGGCTCAGAAATAGTACTGCACATTTATTAGGCATTAATTTTTTAGAGAATATCAAAGATAATGAGGAAAGTTATTTTTGGAAAAAAACCCCAGAAATAAAACCCCAAACAAAATAACTAAAACTACTCCTGATGAAAATTTGATTTCTGTTCTTTTACGAGATATTTACCATATTTGAAAACTTGTAAGCAATAAAACATTTAAAATCTGTCCATTCATTCATCTGGTTATCTGTTGCAAACTACTGTAGGCAGAAATTAATGTGTGCAAATAAAAAATGGTTAATTTTGTTACTGTATACTTGGACTAACTCTTCAAAAAAAAAATCTTTAAAATTTTTTGTGATGTTCACAGTGCAGGTAATTTTTTTGAATCCTCCACGTTCTTTGTTCTTTTTGGAGTACAAAGAGTTGTGGGAGAACAAGCTATCTAATCAACCATAAAAAGGAGTTGATTTAAGACATACTTTCCTGGGAGGTGGTTACTTTGAGAGGCATTTGTCCCTGCAGCTGAAAGCTTAAAAATATGGACTTTGTTAAAAGGATCTGTACTGAGGTTTTCATATTTTTCAATAGACAGTGATAATTTATCTCCTGACACTTTTCACAAGATTTTAAATGAGTTTCTGATGCTTCTTTAAATCTTCAAATACAGCATAACACAGGACTTCAGGGTCTGCAGCTGTAACAGCTCACACCAACATTTCTTGGGGTTTTACCTCAAAGCATTGTATTGTTTTAAGCTGACACTTACGCTTTGTCTTTTTTTCTGTAATATTTTCTCTTTCAGAAGCTGTATGCTCATCAGGACATTGCATTGTAAGCAGAAAACTGCGTCTGCTTTAAAATTACTAAATGCTGGCTACATTTCCTTAGCTGAGGTTTGTGGGGTCTCTGCTAAGAGAAATTTGAGTAATTCTGGAATTTAAGACTGAGGATAAAAGGAATTTGTAAAATGAGGTTATTAGAATTTGTAAAAAGACCAATGTAGTCACTTTTGGTTTTGCTTTTTTTTTCTTGTTACAGTTATGACCCTGTTCTGTCAAAACAAAAACTTATTTTAATTTTTAAGCAAACGTGTTTATAGGCTTGAACCTGAATGCAGCATCTCAGCAGATAGTTAGAACAAGTCCTGAGCTGCTTTTTAGACAAATTTTGTGCAACAAGTATGATAACTCTTGCAGCAAAGTATATAATTGGTGCTCAGTACATAGTACATACTTGTGTATTGTCAAACCTCCAGTGTCAGTTTGCAAAGCTGCCCTGAATGCTCAGCACAGCTCACAGAACTTGGGAGCAAATGCATAGGAATTCCATAGGAATCCTGCTGGTGGTTGTTAGACCAGGAGAGGTAGCTCAAGCTACAGGCATTAAAGTTGAAAAATTAAGGCAGTTTCTGAAACAGTTGGAATAAAGAGCCATTCCTACTCACTTTCAAAGTGACATCCATCACACCTTGCTAACTCATCCAAAATGTACCAGGGAAGACTTCCCCAGTCAATCAGCTTCCTCAGAGACATGCCCTCCTCCCCCCCCCTTTCCAGCAGCTTGCATGGTTAGCAGTGAAAAGTGAATCACAAAACTGCACACTGAGGCTTATAGTAAATTAGACATTTACATCTTTTACTCAAGTTGTGAAAAAAAAAATTGAGTACAATCAGCATTTGGTTTCTGTTAGTTTATACTACTGTTTTCAAATGTATGAGCTGCCAGTGTTTTGAAACTGAAATGAATGGAATGGATTTTAAATAATGGTTTTTAATGCAACCTAAGACTGAACTTTGTAAATAGTATTGGGTTTGGATCATAACAATTTCTGGTAACTTGAGGATGACATGACAATCAATGAACTACCAGTTGAGCCGCTCCCACCTTATTTGTATTAATGTAACAGTGCCAATATATTTAAGGAAATGTCTCACACTGTTATGTACATGCATAAAAAATTAGTTTGTAGCAGTGGAGGTTCCACCTATTTTGAAAAGAATCTGATGATGTAGGTGACTCGGGTATTAAGCACACCTGACCTATTTTATGACTGAAAGCTTCATTTATCTGAGGTAAGTTTAATAACAAATTATTTATTTTTACTTATTAAAACAATTACTCTGAAAGCATAGATTTATAAGCTGGTTAAAGACAATGGCTAAAGAATTAATTAAGACAGTAAATTCACAGCCTCTTTTAACCTATGATGGCAGTATGAACTGATATTATCTTGATTAAGTTGCAATCAAATTAAATAGAAAGCCCTGCCGCTNTTGTACATATCTGAAATGTAAAATCTAATAAATAGGAAAACATGAAGGAGTGAAGTTGTTGCCTGGTTAATTTACAAAATGATGCCTAAAGAACACTGTGTTACAGCTGTTAACATTACTGAAACAATACTGGGTGGTCGGTGTCTGAGAACTGGGGTGGAGCTGATGGTGCAGGGTTTGTTTAGCTGGGGGCGATGCCTAAGCAGGTGTCATGACTAGAAAGGATGGAGAGTGTTGGCAGCACTTAGTTCAGGTGCCTGTGTTAGATACTATCTCCCTGATTATACACGGAGCTCTGGGGATAGGAATGACCACTCTGAGTTCTTTGCTCAAGGAGCCCCTTCTATTTAGTATGGGATTTAAGTAGCTCAGTTAGGAGCTAAATTCCTTAACCCAAACAAATCTTAAAGATGGGTTTGGTTTCTTGATGTTGCCAGACCAAAGAAAACCCAAGTCAGTTCCTGTCCTTTCCTGCAGAGCTGTGCCTCAGGGTTCCTGCCTTCTAACCTGGGCAGAAAAGTATTCTACGCCTCCACTGCAGAATTCTGCTGAGGACACCTGAGCTCCAGGGTGGTTTTGGCTACTGGAGCTGTAATTTCATCAGAGCAGGGACAGTGCCATTTACTGCAGAAGAATCTTTCTTCCTGCATTTCGTCAGACATAATTTGTGATACATATCGCAATTGTGATACATATCATAATTTGTGAATATCTCGAAGTAATGGTATCCGGAAGTACAGAGCTCTGGAGAAACTGCAATACTAAACTGTGATTCCAGGCAGGCTGAACAGTGAACCGAAGCGCAGCTCGAGTCAAGCAATAAAAAGTTTTTACTTAATTGATGCTGCTCCCATTACAAAAATAAGCATCCACAGCACATTTATTTAATGTTTAAATTACTTCATATTTTTACATAACCTGAAAAGAAAATATATTTATCCCACATACAGTAATAGTAAACAAGTGCATTATTTCAAACATTAAAAATAAATCTTTTAACCAAGTCTGTACAACAGATAAATAGAATTATATCTACAATACTTAAGTTGTGAAGAACAAAACAAAAGTCATCCCTCAAACTCACAGTTCCTGTTGCTCAAAATACTGGCATAGATGAAGGTTATGCATGCTATCCCTGTCTACGGTGTTCACCTACACCCTTTCCTTCAGTCACTCATAGGTATTTTTTGAGGAGGTTTAACTTCCCAAACATCAGGAGTAATGCACACACAGAACAAACAGCTGAGTATCTTTCCAATAGCTTTAAAATAGCTGGCAGGCTTAGTAAAACTGCTGAATTTGGGGCAAGTGAATGATTGATTTTTAGTGTTTTTATGATGAAAACTGTTAAAACAGTTTTAAAAGAAAACTGTTCTCCACCAAAAAAAAAAAAGTTGAAGCCATTCTCACAAATTTTCTTTTGCACTTGTTCATGGCTGCAAGTTTGAATTCAATGTTTTACCTGGAATAAGATCAAGAATATGCATGGGATGGTAAATATGGTACAAATTAGGACTCATGTTGTTTATAATCATACATAATTGCACACATGCTTGGAAAATAATACTGTGCTCATGTTTTTTGACTGCTAACAAATAATCAGGAGAAGAATAAAATGAAAAAGCAACTAAAGGTCAAACTATTACTTGAATCAAACCCACAAACAGGAAGAAATGTCCATAACTTCACTGATAAGTAGAATGTAAACAACACCATGTCACTGCCACACTGAAGGACTATTTCTTTTAATTTTAGGGTTTTTTTTCTAAAGGAAAGAGTTAATAAGAAAGATGGGCACTGCTAAAAAGGATGGGAAAAAAGGTTCCTCCAAACAGCTGCAATCTCATTTCACTTGTAATTCTGAGATTCAACCATCTGTATGGAACAAAGATGACCACTCAGACCTTCTCCTCATACCAATAGAGTGGCTTGCATCCTTGACTTGCATCCTTTTAAATGAAAATATTATTACTGGATAGAATATGGCACCAGTTCCCTAATGAGACCTAGTTCAAGGTCACCTACAAACTCAGTGAAAGCTTCAGTGATCACCATCTCCCTGTTCTCCAATTTCCTTAAGATCTGATGGAGTGAATATGATGTGATTTCAGCTGAAAAGGTGTTCCAAAAATTCTCCATCTTGAACTCAGTCTCTGAAAATTATTCATCTGTTTGTTCATGGTGGTTGTACAGGGAATTACACACAATTAGATGAATTAGCGTAAAATTTATGGATTATTAATTTTAGGGGGAAAAAAATTCAAATTTTCTTTATAAAAAAATCTCAGAATTCACCATATTTGTGAAAACATCTTAAATTTCTAAAAAAACTCCCATAAAATATTACGTAAACTTGTATATAATCTTCAATCACTCAACTGATGATTACTTTTTATTTCCATTTATAAAGGGTTGCATATAATATGTACTATTTCCACCCAAAATACTGATTTCTAAACGAAAAATTACCCTTTTGTTCAGAAAAATGCCCTGGTTTCACATCAGCCAGAAGGGGCCATTCCGAAGGATCACAGGTTTGCTCAGTTTTGTTCCTGCTGGGAGTGACGGCAGCACGTGCGACGTGTGGGCCGTGCGCCCGTAACACCCGCTCTTCACTCGGCTCCCACGGCGCCGGCTCAGTCCCGTGAGACGCCCATGATGCTGCCAAACCACCTCACTTCTTCGTGTCACGTTTAAACAGGTATGTAAACAGAGACATACATCCAGTAGAAAAGACTCATTTTCACATGCAATTCTGTACAGTGCACTCTTGTTTCTCAGATTATTTGAGAAGGCTGTTTCCACACAAAATATGTACATTTGCGCTATATACATTTTCCACACGCTTAATTTAAATGTCTTCTTGTACCTCCAGTTGAGAATTTTTGTTCAGGCACACAAACAGTAAACCTGAAGAAAGTTTCCAAGTTAATGCCTTGACTGATCTTGAATTGCTGAGAAGAGGTGTAGTCCAGAAAAAAATCCAGCTATGCATAGCAACCTTTTCAGCAGAGTTGAGTTATCTTTAGGAACCACAATCTGTGCTAGATCATTAGTGATCTGAGAAATTTCATGTGCCACACACACAAATATAAAAGTGCTGACAAGAACATTAAACATTGGATATCCAGGAATGAGCACCAAGATCCCCTTTGTGTCTGCTGCCAGCCAAATATGGTATTGGCAAATGAAAAGCTAAAAGAAAAAAGAAGGTGTTTAATAATATTTATAAATATTTTTACTTACCTAAAGCCATATAATTATTACTGTTGCATCAACTGACATACTTCTGTTTAAATCAGAAGTTGAATTCCACGTCTTCACTATAAGACAAAACTATGAGCTTGTTAGAACACACAGTGAAATGGGTTTGCTTGGCCCTTAACCAAATAAGGCTCCCAGGAGCATGGGATACATTCTGTCAGAGCAGAGGAAGAATCCACCTCTGCTCAGTTACTGTCTCTCTGGTGAGGGTCTGAACTAACAAGCCTAGAAATAAGAGATAATGCTTCAACTGATGAATGCACAGATCCCTGCAGTTGACCAGCACCTAAAATTCATCAGAAATTGGAAGAATGGAATGTGATCCTTTAAAAAAACCCCACAAAATCATGTACTACATATACATTGTTTGTAAAGTTACATTTGTTAATTATTCACAAAAAGCTTTCTAGGGCAAACACATTTATAAGTCTACTTACACTAGTAAGTATAATTCATGCTGATTCTTCAACTGGCTTAAATTTTTATCTTCCAACTCCATACATCTCACAGCATACTCCAGCATTAAATCCCCACCCTCACAACCTTAATTCACTCCGTCCCCCAAAATAGCACAAGAATTAACTTGCTACTGTGAGACTGCTATTTCAGTTGTGATTTTTAAGTGTAACAGAAGCTATAATGCTAAAAGAGCTCAAACACCACAGCATGGTATTGAGTAAACCAATACATGTTTTCACTATGTGTTATATGAAGATTTAGATAATAAAACATCCTTACATTTCTAAGTTTCAGTTCACTGTAGGTCTGGTCATTCCACTTACCTCTAAAGAAATTTTGCCAAACCAGGCAAAGAACGAGCTATACACAGATCGGACATATCCAGGAATGTTCCTGATGAGGATGAAAGCTAAAATCTTTTTTTTTTAAAAAAAGTAAAACAAAAAAAAGCAACTGTGGATGACAAGCCAATTACAAACAGATAAAAGGTTTATTCATATTCACTGCCTGAAGTGAACTGCTTCATGCATTAAAATTTTTTTAATATCTAATATCTATCTAAACCAAACAAAAATCCATGCAGTTTATACTTAACAAAGTAGGCATTGAAACTGAAAATCTCTTACACACATTCTTAAAGCATAGCAGGTCACATTTACATCTCCAGCAGAATCATGGCCTTGATGTTGACAGCTGTTCCTATACAGTTACTAGGCATGGCCACAAAACGTGTTACACCATGCCAGCCTAAAATGAAAGCGGCCACAAATCTGAATTAACCCTCAATTTTTAAAGACAGGGTGTCAGGATGGACAAATTAATATTAAAAAATTAAGTCGTGTGCTGCCTTTCAAGAGAGCAGGACAAACTACTAAGAAAAAGAAACAGAGGGCACAGAATCAGACACCTGGTGCTTAGTGAGGCAGGGGACAAAGCAAGAGGAAAATCTAAATTTAAAAAAACCACATGCATGCCCCTGTGGCTCACCTCTTCTCTGCCTAAAAGTGACTACAGGGTCCCATAGGTTGCTTCCTACAGTAATACCTCACAAACAGTTGTGCTTTCCTACAGCTGCCTTCTTTTCCACTGCTGCTTAAATAGTCAAAAGCTGGCTGTGGACTGAAACGGTGCATATGAAACCTACGCTAGGGACATCCAGGTTAATCAAAAGCACAGTCACAGTGTCCAATTTCAGTGCTTAAAGGCAATGAGAAACTGAGCAATGTCATTAAACCCTTTTTCACTTTCAGACATGACAATGAAGTGCAATATCTGACATTCTATGCTAAGGTACAAATATATTTAAAAACAATTTAAAAACAAGACCAAATAAGAACAGACTAGATTCTATGACTGTAATGAAAAGGACTATAATTAAAATTACCTGCACCACAGAAACAGAAGGATGTAGCTCATTGCACTCTGTCTTGTTTTTACAGCTACTAGCCCAAATAGAGTAGGTCTAAATGATATAAAAAAAAAAATCAGTCTGTGTAGCAATTGTATGTAACATTTAAAAATGAAACAAGAGTATGGTATTTTGAGTTGCTTTAGTGGTAATTTGTTCACTAAGATGTGAGACACTAGTAGAAAAAACCCCTACATTTGGCTTAGTTTTGTGTCTCAAATTCTTTGCAACTGGTGAATACTATACTTATTAATACAGTTTTTTTCATCACAAATAAAGAAGCAATCAAGGGTGGAGATCAGAGCTGCATTATCTACCATTTTATTTTTATGATCCAATTTTCTTGTAACCTTTGCAATTAACTGAAAGAGTGATGATGTTTTTATCTACAGTTGACTGAACAGAAAAATATTTTAATGAGTAGATACGTAGGGCTGTACAGAAAAACACAGCTGAAATATCTCCAGAT